GAAAATGATCTAGTCCCTCGAGTTTCCTACGAATAAAAAGATGATAGTCCCTTACAAAAATTTCTAAAGCATCCTTACAAGTTGCCTTCCATTAACGTACAATGATCCGATGCCTGTCCCTCCACATTCAACAGACAGGGTTTCCTACTAACTAATGGTACGGATAACACTATCTAAAGGAGAAGGAAAAGTACAAGAATAACCTTGAGTGGGTAGATACTTTTAATCTCTTGCTCAAAATTTTTCCTAAAACAAAATATTTCTCACATCACACTTCCAAAAAACAAATATTTTCAAACAATTTGTACGCGTTCTTGAGGACTCATACAAGAACCATTACAATGTTCGCATTAGCTAAGCGATTAAGAGCCTGTAGGTAACTACAAATGAAAAGGGTGCTCACAGCTTCCCTTTTCATAACCTATCCCCCTAACTCAAAATCTTCAAGGTCTTTCCTGTTCTTTTCACCATTTCCTTATTGGATAAAAGAAAATTGGGTGGCGAATCTTTTTAATCGCAACATTTGAGATAAAATGATAAACACGTAAGTTCTCCCACCGCATTACATTATCTATCTCTTTTTCATTGTTCTTATCTTTATTAATCTTCTTCTCATGCTTCTATAAGAAATTTTCTTGCTCATTTTCTTCACACTTTCCAAAAAAAGTAGTAATATCTAATGTCAATAGATCATTAGATTTGTTGATTGCGATAACCTTCGGTTGCCACTCCCTATTAAGACATCTAAACTTTGTTAGTTGCAATTTCATTGGAAACAGGCTTACCAAGTGCATTCAAAGATTAACAAGATAAGTAAACCTATTTTTCATATCTGCAATGGTTTTACCATGCTTCATATGAAAGAGAAACTCTTGGTTCAAAGTATTGATTCTAGCTTTTTTGACCTCATTTGTGCCATCATGGGAAACTATTAATGAGTCCCACATAGCCTTAATGGTTGTGCAATGGGAAACAAGGTAATATTTATCAACTCCTAAAGAGGATATGTGAGTATTCCTTACTTTCCAATCATACGACCATAATTTCTCATCTTACACGTTCCATTGTGCTTTCGACTTAGGTATAATAACACCTTCCGCATTGGTCATGGTAATTTGAAATGGACCATTTTGGACTGCACTCCATACCTTCCTATCAACTGAATTAAGATGGATACACATATAATCCTTCCAATAAACATAGTTTTTCCATTGAAAACATGCGCTCTATTATACGCCTCTTTAGGTGTGGAATCCATAGTCAAATAAGCAATTTCGAAGAACAAGATAAACAGGTGCTCCTGATACCACTTGTTAGATGATAGGATATGATTTAGAGGGGGTGAATAGATTACTAATGAAACTTTCTTTGATTAAAAAACTATTTTAATTTTTTTTAACTATGCAAGTGGAAACTAATTCTGGATCAGCAATCGTCTATCCCAAACCATTATCGAAAAGATCAGACTTGCGCTAAACCTTAACAAACATATTCGATTGACGATAAAATAAATCAATATATTTTCAAGTATAACGTTTGAACAAAGTCACACAATGATAATCGATTTCCATTGAAATATTAAACTAAGAACTTGACTTAAGAATTTGTCGAACACTTACTGTGCAATCAATTCAAACCATAATTTTACTTAATTTTGTTGATATGAAAACTCAATTGCAATATTATAGATTACAATCAACTCAACAAAAATAGTTTGTAACGTTATTAAGCAAAGAGATTATCTTAGTGTATTGATTGCATAAATAATGAATTCATAATTTGCAATGAAAATAAAAGAGAGAGTTAGAGAGACAGGGGAAGGATTTGTTTAGGCAGTTCCCCAATCGGCCTCGCTATGGGTAGGTCTGCGCCCAATTCCAATGGAATTAAAATATTGGAAATTAACCTTTACTAGAGAGAAAGTAGCAATCCAACCTTCCAAACCCTATGTTTGATATTGATCATATATTCTTATCTTCCCTTGATCTTGAGCTCGATTAAGTAACCCAATACTTCAAATTTGATCCTTCGGTTACCGTTACTCCTTTGACAGAAACGTCGTTCTTGAAGCTTTCACTCAACTGAATCTGAATTGCAATCTATTGTGACACAAGATTACCAATATGGTCCTCCTGTTACCGTTACTCCTTTGACAGAAACGTCTTCCTTTAAAGCTTTAACTCGGCTAAATCCAATTTGCAAAAACATGCGAAAAACTCCCAAATCAACCTGGATCTTGAAAGAAAACTCCAAACGGATTTATCTTAAAACCCCTAAACAATTTACAACACAATTGATTACAATAAAATTAATTAGACCTTATCAAACTATCTCAAGATCACACAACAAAAATAATTATGTGTAGTTTTTGTATGTATGCAATGAGATAGGATAAAGATGATGGAAAATTATGTGTATATTTTTGGTTTCAATCCCTTTGAAATGATGGATGGATGGCTATATATATATATATATATATATATATATATATATATATATATATATATATATATATATATATATATATATATATATATATATATATATATATATATATATATATATATATATATATATATATATATATATATATATATATATATATATATATATATATATATATATATATATATATATATATATATATATATATATAGTGTGTGTGTGTGTGTGTGTGTGTGCGTGCGTGTGTGAAATAAATAACAAAACAAATAGGTTTTCAAAATTATAATTTTGGAAATTTTAAACAGAGGGAGTCGACCCATTGCTTCATGGGAGTCAAACAATTGCTTCCTGGGAGTCGACCCATGCCTGTTGGGTGTCGACTCCAAGTGGACAGATAAACTTAGAATAAAAATGCTTCAGTCGGAGTCGACCCCCTGCTCGAGGGAGTCGACCCATTCATGATATGTATCGACTCAAATGGCCTATGTATCAACTCCAAAGCAAAAAATATTTTTGTTTCAAAATTGCTTTCAGTGGGAGTCGACCCACATCTCAAGGGATTTGACCCATTCATTATGTGTGTTGAATCTAGATGCCAGTGTGTCGACCCATTTGAAGTAGAGAGTTTTATTTTCATATTTCTTCAAAGGGAGTCGACTCTTAACATGGATGTGTCGACTCCTAACTTAGTTTTTCATGAAAAAATAATATTTTTGGCATGTCAAAATGCTTTTTGACCTATTATATAAGTATCCTAAGATGGATATGCAACCTAGACATAAAAATATAAGGTCCAATGTACAAATACTAGTACTACCTAGTTTTGACATCATTCAAAACATCTAAGAAGAGAATAATGCACTCAAAAAAAGAACTACAATCTCCTCCTTTTGACAAATTTTGGCTAAAACAACTATAAGATATGATCTTTATAGAGTAATGCATATAGCACACCATATCGCACATCATAATAAATAGAGAAAACATCAGAAGCAGAAGTAGCACATAAGTAATGTTTCTACACATCAAGAGATCAGATAACACCTCCATATAACATCTTGTACCATATGATCATTAATCTCCCCTTTTCCATAATTATGCAAAGGTATGGAAAGAGCCACAAAAAAGAACAGCAAACAGAGTAGCAACAACATAAATCAGAAGCATGACAATTGCTACACATCAGTCAATTGACCTATAATGCTCCCAAAAATAGTCAGTCTTGCAATCACAATGTTAGTCATGCATGAATACACATTTAGTAGTTAAGACAAAACCATCAACAAATCCTACTAACACAAAGATCAACACACACAATTTAGGGCCAGATGCCAGGCTAGATTCTTTAGCATGTGTTGATACAATCATAATAGTTAGTACCAAGTACAATTCACACTAGAGTCAGCAGCATGTGAACACCATACCACACAATCAGTAATAGTCAGAAAATACTACCCTATACACCAAAATAGAAGGGGGCAACAACCGATTGATATAAAAAACCAGACCAGGTTCATCAATGGGTACCTAGATGTTGGACATAATGTTTGAGACATCTTTCCCAACACTCATCTTGTAATTGATCCTTAACCTTAATCTCCTTCATCAACCTAGGATAAAAAGTTCCATTATTCAACATTGTCTTCAACATTGATCATCATAAATAAGCTCCATAAATTCACTATACATCGGTGCTTGAACAAAAGTTCTTATGCATCCTTATTTGTAGTTTCTTTTTCTTCCTTAGTTCCTTTTTCCTTGAATATAATCCTATCTATAGGGGAAACCTTGCTTCTTTCCAATCAGTTAAAAGTTGAAGGTGAAAGCTTCACATGTTTCCTCTATCATAATAATTTATAAACTCCTTGACTAGCTTTTCATAGCTAGGACCATCATTAATAACATTCTTTATTAGCCCAACAACTTTCAGAATTACTTTGCAATCAAGAGCTTTTTCACCTAACACTTTTTCAGCTGAAATCCTTCTTCCATTTCTAAAGTTTCATAATGGAATCACACATTATCCTTATGAGAAGAGGTGACATTCATAAGATTTCTCTTCCCACCAACCTTTCTCCTTATGGAGGATACAATGTTCTAGTCATTTTTTTCAGTATCTATCTCATATTCACATGTTTGAACAAGAATTATATTCACTCTAGTATTGACAAGGGTGACTTGTTCATCCTTCCTCTGAGTTTAAAATTGAGTCACCAACATTTCATACTTGTTATCTGACACACCATAATTGACATCTCTGTTACAACGTTTTTTTGATATCTTTGAGCAATTGGTTTCTCCCCAGCAGTAGAGTGAAACTACTTCCAGTATATATATATTGGAAATCAAAGGAGTAGTCCTTCACTTGATTTACTTGAAAAACTAGAGAGTAAGTAACATCTCCTACCATGCTCAACTCAATTCATACTGCATATATTTAACAAAATGCTCCACCATCTTGTTTGACTTATCATCAACATACATGTGAGCTTTCATTAGATTCTCATTGTCTTTCATAATGATGCCCTCCATCAGCTGAACAATCTCTTCAAATGTCAAAGCTTCTCTTGACAACTTCCTTTCAAGGCTACCCATTTGTGATACAAATACTTCCTCTTCAACACACTTTTCTCATAATGGAAACACACGTTGTATAAGGAACCAATAGAACCATTTGTAGGAATCGTATTTCCATCAACTATTTTATTTGACTTCTTTCCAAAGCTTTTACATAGACCAACATATTTAGTAACACCTTTGTTGACTGATTTAGACCCATTATGAACTTTATTGTTCATGGGGATAAAACCCTTATCAGAACTGAAAGAATAATCAATAACATCATCAATGTTGTCACTCACATTATTCACCATATGATCCTTTTCTTGAGTATCCTTTTCATGAGACTTGGTTAAATTCTTCATGGTTCTCTTCATTATGTTGGCAAAACGAAAGTCTCCAACTTCCACATAATCACACTTCTTAATTTCACCATCCTTGTATGTGGCATAATTACTAACATCCTAATTGACTTCCACATTTAAGTACTTATTTGAAACAATCGGCTGAAAATCATCAAACAATGAAGTCGCCATCGAACGTATTTTATCCCACATGAAGTGAAAGGTAAACATCGAGAAAACCTGAGAAGGGAGAAGTCACGGTCTTGCAACTGAGAGATCGGGTAAGGGAGTCTGTTATGCGAGGGGAAGGTATTAACACCCCACACGCCTGTAGTACTCTATGGTATCCACTATTGTTATCTATCTTATGGGTGTGTTTAATCTATGCTTACTGCTTATTACTGAGAAAGAATACATGCAAAAGAAAAGAGAAAAGAATGTAGGGAAAATAAAAGTTGTACTCGCTTGTACCCTACCCCAATGCCTACATATCCTTTTTGAGGATTTAGAGCTACCGTAGTTCGGCTCACATGTTTTTGGTTGTTTGTGTTTTTTATGGACCATGTTAGTTCCGCCTTCTTCCGCAACTCGACCTTTGGATACTTATGTGTTGGCACTAAAGTAAACTAATCATGTCCTTACCTGAAAAGGGTTTTAGAGAAAAGGTGCTCGAGCGCACAAAATGGTTTGAGTTGGTTTGTATTTTGTTACCTTGAAAAAGGGTTTAGGTATGATTAGCATGTTTTTGATTTGCTAAGAAGAGATTTTAGTTTTGGATGCATATGAAAAAGGGGAAGAAAAGAGTCTACGGGGGACTAGCCTATTCCTAACCTTATGTTATCATACAATGATGGTCCTAAAGTTTGGATTAACAAAAGGGAAATGTATACCTAATGTTAGCATGCATGGTTTACAACCTAAGGTCTAACTTGCGTCCGAAAGGAGCAAGCATATCCTAAGGGAACATGGTATGTACAAGGATAAAGCAAGCAAGCTCGAAGAAGCACACACATAAAAGAATAAGGAAAAGAAGAGAAATTATTTAGCCAAGGGGAGCGTATAACCCGAGACAAACAAGCGGGAGTGAGATGAAGAAACAAAAAGGTGACGTCCAAAGCGACTGAACACCTAACCAAGATATAGGAGATCGAGGTAAGTTACTGAAGGAAATATGAACGATCACGGAGTATCAGCATTGGCCAATGCGAACTCCTGACAAAGCGTGGGAGTTCGATTGCGGAATCCTTCCCCACTTGACGACTCGATAACAAGAGTAGGCAAAACTATGAAGCATCATGGTGCGCCATGGGCTAAGGATGACACTGACAAAAATGCGGGTGTTGATTGCTTACCCTCTCTGCTTGCCTCCTTTTGATGACTTCAATAAGGTATGGGGAATTATGTGGGCACAAATATAAACACACCTGCATAATACCAACTCAAAGGTAGGGTTTTAAACAAACCACACACAAGTAGCAAACAGAATGCACACAATACGGAATTTCCCTAAACGGGTCTTTAAATAAACCAGAGAGGTTCCTGACATATCAACAATGGAGATCCCCTTCATATATCTCTATCTACTTTTCATGGCATCAGAAAGCAGCAAAGCCCTACTTCTCATGATTTTTAGAAAGCGGTAAAGTGCGGAAATGAGGAATAAAAATGATGTTGCGATGATACCTAATGAACAAGAGTTCGTAACACAGCAAGCAAAGCAGAGAAACCCAGAAAACTTTGAGTAAGATATGAATCATCATGTGATAGTCCTGCGGAACCGCTTGCAGATTCGTAAAAAGAAGAATATCAAGGAGAATTCTTATGATGATTTCAGGTATCAGAGATTTCGAATATGTTTATTTTCTCCTTCTTCTTCGTTTGATTCACTTCTTAGTTTTCTTGTGTTCTTCTGCGTTGTTGTTTACGTTGTTGAATAGTGAGAAGTTGATGAACACAGATGATGATGGTACCTTGGTGTTGCAGTGTTGTTCACAGATAACGTATTGATGAAGTTGCGAAAAAAAGATGAAGAATGATGCAATAGAGATTGAAGAAGATTGGAATTTTCTCAGATTTGGTGAGTTTTTCTGTGTATGAGTCTTGATGAGAACGGAGATTAGAGAATGATCATGGAGAGGGGGTTGTAGAGGGAGTTTTATTCTCGTTATTTTCTGGTGAGTTTTTGAGATAAGGTGATTGAAGAGGAATGAAAGATGTTGAACATGATGAAGGATCTTTGGAGATTATGCCGAGAGAGTAAGGTTGAAAGGTCAGTCCTCTTTTTCTGTTACTTTCTGTTATGCCTCTCAACTTTCTCCTCTCTCCCGTTTACTCTTATCTCTTTTCTATTATTCTGTTTTTTTTCTTCTGTCAGTTGGATTCTGTTTTCTGAAGTTGGTTAGAAACGGTTAGGAGTTAATTAGGTGATTCAGTTAGTTTTCTGTTAACAGTAAGTTGTTAGGGATTATGATAGTTAGGAATTAGTTGGTTAGCGGCTGTTATAAACAGTTACAGGACAATAACAATTTGGTTTTGATTTCAGTTTTTGGAAGGTTAATTAGGAAGGTTAGAAACAGTTAGGAAATGGTTAAGAAATTAGTTGGAATTCTATTTGGTAGTTTGTTTTGACAGTTAGAAGATGGTTTAGAAAATAGTTAGAGGGTTGTTAATTCTGTTTGAAAGTTATAGGCAGTTGTGATACAGTGGGAGAACTGACTGTTTTGGAATGCTGGTTTGCGTTTTGCGTTTGTTTTCGCAAAATGTCGCGGTAAGCAAGAGTCACCACCGACTTTTATTTTATCCAACAAGGAAAGGAAAAAAAGCACAGAAAAATTCCTTTTTTGAGATATTTCTGAGTACGGGGGGTATATTATAGAAAGGGAAGGTATTAACACCCTTTCTATCCGTAGTTATCTACGGGATCTTAGGTACTTGCTCATCATTTTCAAAATTGTTTCTTTGTGTTTGTGGGTTTTGAAAAGTTTTGGTTTTAACTTCGATTTAACTCTTGCTTCTGTCTTCAAGAGTGTAATGAAGTGTTTTTGAAAACTTGTTTGTAAAAAGAGTGTAAGTGTGAAAAAAGTTTTGTCTTGGATGAGCAAGTATCTAAGAACTAACCTACCTACTCGAAAAAGGAATTGTTCTATGCTAATTTCCTTTAGACAATGCTATCCTACAATTAGTGAGTAGGTAGCACCATCGTTGGAGTTTTAAGGGTCAATTCGAAAGGGACATACGGTCACTAAAGCAATGTTAGGATGTCTTAGTGGTAACCCTAATGATCTTTTAGACAAGAGGATGACCTCTAAAACAACCTATACTCAATGACTGTTTACGAAGGCAACCAAGTGGGGTGTACCGTAGGAGTGCACATGTGCGAGTGTGTTGATTTCAGATTATTTATCTTTGCACATGTTTGGGGTGATCTAACTGTTTTTAAATTTAGTCATTCATTCTTGTCATGAAAACCCTATTATCAAACATATAGCAGTTGGATATTTGCATAAATTAAAGGCGCGGAAATTAAACTAAACTATTACAAGGCGTCGAGTATTTACATCGCCAAAAACAACCCTTTGAAAATAAAATAAAAGCGGTCAAAGTAAATGTCCTAATTAAATATTACAAACGGGAGCATATACAATAATTGAACAAAATATTAAAGCGCGGGATGCGAAATTAAATCGAATGCGAAATTAGGGTTTTGACCCGTTTAAAAGAAAATGTTTTTTATTGTTTTTATTTTTTTAAGAAAAGAAATTAATCCTAAAATTAAATACTAAATTAATTATTAAATTAATTAATTAATGAAAAATATTAAATGACATACTTTTGGAGTTTTGTTAATTTGGGAAAGAAAATAAAATAATTAAATTAGGGTTAAAACCTATGGATTTCTAATTGATTTTAAATATTTGCAAAATAAATGAAAGTTATCTAAAATTAACCTAATTAGATTAATTAATATTTATTAGTGAAACAAAAATAAAATTCTGAAATTTAATTGAACATAAAAATAATTTTGGTGATTTTTGATAAAAAAGAAAAATTAATATTGGTTAGTAATTAAATAAATAAATAATTAAATGAAAATAAACAAAATAAAAAAGAAGGTGGAATGGGCCTGAATATTGGAGGTGTAGAAAGCAAGAAATCTGGCCCAATTGTGCTGATCCAATTTAACTTTTCTGATCCCATGCATGTGCATTGACTTGGTCTTTTGGTGCACCCTCAGTGGTAGCCACCAGATCTGGCCATCTGGCACATTAATGAGGAAGGCGTATGGTGGACATCAAGCTCATGCGTGCACTAGATTTCCTGCAAGAAAATACTATAGAGAAAATAGGGGGACCTGGGATTCGAACCCAGGCCCCAAGGGGAATTCCATGCCACGCTTGCCACTGGATCACTTGTTGCTATTTGTTATAATATCAAAAGAAAATAATAAAATACAAAAACAAGTATTAGTGGACAACAGAAAAAACATGCCAATGTTTGAATGGACGAATGGAGGAGTGACACGCCTGCTTCTTCTTCCTCTCTTTGTGGCAAAAACCAGAAGCACCTATACCCACGGACAAAGGTTCGTCACTATAACCCTGTCCACACTCAAAATCTCGTACAAGCCATGTAAATGAATTCTAACACCATGGTTAGACTCGTCTCCTTCTTCTGATCACAACCATAGCCATTACTAGGGCCAATTATTCCTGAAAACAAAAACCCTAAAAAACTCCAAGAAAACCTAACAATGGTGATTCACGATATAGATCATATAAATGAAATTGGCTATTGGAAAAAGCTTGCAAATGATATGGTGATCAAGAATATGCCTTTATTTTACACAATGGATGCAAGAATAAAGCTAATCGAATTCAAGAAAAGAGTGATACCATGACAGCCTTACAGCGCGCTAGAGGGCTTGAAAACGATTGGTCTCGATTGCTTTAGGTTGTGGAGATTGCCAGGAAGCGATTGAGACAAGTAACAGGCCTTGAGGATGCCTCTAACCTCTGTTTCGATCTCACACTTTT